TGAGCTATGTGTTGGTACATATTGAATTTATTTTACTGCTATTGCTATTATCAGTTATTTACAAAACAATAATAAAAATTGCTATTTGTCGAATGCCTGAAAAAAATCTGGCCCTGGGTGCACAGATTATCTGATTTAATCCTTATACTAACACTGTGAGCAGTCATCACTGCCTTTACATAATATAAGGTAAGACAGTTGTATTCTTTTAGTCTTTTTCACCTTATCTTAGTTTTCTTTTAACTTTTTAATATTATTTGTATTTAAAAAACTAAAAAAGAGTTGACTTCTCAGGGTTTGTTTGTTTGTTTGTTTGTTTGTTTTTGTCAAGTGTTAAATCTATACTATCTCTCTCTTTGAATAGGACTGAGAAACAAATAAACTCAGCCCTACCCCTAACCCATTTTATAGCAAGCCTCAGAAAATTCTGGACTTTACCTTCCCAGATGATATTTTTTCATTGTCTGCATTTTAATTATCTATTTGTCTAGAGGCCAGCACTAAAGGAAATCAGGCAAGAAACAAAGGAACATTTTCTCTATGGTGTCAATGCAACATATTAGAGTTAGCATAAGATTTTTTTTAAATCAAAATAATTCAAGTATGGTAAATAGTCATGTAGGTTGTTTTCCTAGAAAACAACATCTTTTTAAAATAGACAGTTGTTTGATAAATATTTAGTAAACCTGGTATAAAAAGGTACGATGCTATGTATAGGGGACAAAGATGATCTTGTACTGCATGGAGTGAGTATACAGATTAGCAAAAGGCAGAGGATTAAATAAGCAGTTGTAAGAATGTGTGATAACCATTTTACTAAATGTAAGAAAGTGCAGGTCGCTATAATAACACAAGCACCTACATCCTTGTCTAGAGGTCTCATTTCCTGAAGTGACATTTAAATGATATTTAAATTGACATTGAAGGGTTTATGTTACTTAGGGGAGAGAGGGGATGTCTTAGTCTACTCCAGCTGCCATAACAGAACACCACAGACTGGGTGTCTTAAACACCAGAATTTATTTTCTCATAGTCCTGGACCAAAGTGCCAATCAGGTAGTTTCCGGTGAGGCCTCCCTATAGATGCCTACCTACTTACTGTGTCCTCACAGGGCCTTTTGTGTCAGGGGAGAAAGAAAGGGGGCAGGGTGAGGACCTGAGGCTCATCCTCTGGTGTCTCTTCCTCTTACAGAGATAACCAGCCCTGTCGGATTAGGACTCCACCCTTTTGACCTCATTTAACCTTAATTACCTCCTTAAAGGCCTTATCTCCAAATACAGTCACATGGGGGTGGGTGGATTAGAGTTTCAACATACAAATTTTGGGGACAGACACATTTCATTCATGACGGGGAGAATATTTAGAGGTAGGAAGGTGAGGAAGAAGAGAAAGGGAACAAGGTTCCCTGTGATTTGAGCATGGGATGCGTAGTGTGAGTGCTAATGGGGAGGGAGACCCCAGTCTGAGCTCTCTTCAGATTAGGAAATCTTGGGGACTTCACTGTTTTTTTTTTTCTTAAATTTTGATATTGTAACAAGAGCTCTGAGTAGAAGATCTAGAGTGTAATCACTGTGAAGCCTTGGGCAAATCATTTGTTTTGAATGTCAGTTTCTCCCACTTAAAAATTATAATTGTTAACTTCCTAGATTATTGGACTAATGTCTTAGAAACCGAAAAGTACTGTATAATGATTGAAGGTTTTTTTAAAAAAATCTTTCACCTTGTCAGGTTTTCCTACAAAACAACAACATGGAGTTGTTTTTCCTTTGGTGACAAACACTCAAGGCTCTGGTTCTCTTCACGTCTCTTTCAGCACCCATCAGTTCGGTATTCTTTACCGTTTTCTCCTCTAACTAATCTTTTTTAAAAAATGGCAAGATTAACAAAAATGTCATACCATTTTTTCCAAAAAATGTTGCCTTGTTATTCCCAATTATTTTATTCCTTGTCTCTCCTATTCGCCTTGCCTAGGCAGAATTATTCTTTAGTCTCCACAAAGTTACTGTGCTTCTCTGCCTTCCAGGCTAAAACGTATGATTTTCTTAGCTTGCTGAGCTCTTTCTGCCATTGTTCAGATTACCTCTGAAATCTTGCCTTTAGAAACTTTTGTGTGCTGGTGTTTTAAAAAATGATAATGTTTATTACTACCAGCAGGTTCTTCTGAGGGCAGCCAGTTCTGTATTCATGAAGGCCAGGAACTCAGTCTTGGAGAGTTTACACTTGTTACCATCCTTTCCAGCATACTTTTGGAAAATAGCAATCAGAGACTCGATGAACCCCTTGGTCTCTAGGGCTAGACATTTTTGCCACGTTGGGGTAGAGTGAGGTGCGGAGCCCGTGAGCTGGGAGGCGCTGACAATTCTATAAACTAATTTTCTGACTGACTCAGACATAAGTGGTACTTTTCACTGTGATGTCTCGTTATTTTTCATCACACCCAGTGTCTTGTTATTACGTGCAAAATATATACATATTTAATACCCTTGTATATGTATTTAACTGTGAGATATAAAGTAAGACGTATCTGTTGTTACACATCAGAATTTTAATTTCAAAGTCATTGTGGTCCCTTGAGAAGTTATATACTCTGCATCTGAGATTTTATATTCCTCATTTTCATGGGGCTTTTAAAAAGCCCTCTTTGGTTTCTTATGTATTAAAATAATCAAAGAATTGGCAGAGAAGAATAAAAAATCAAAGTGTTTATAAAGAAATGAAGCTTATTGAAACTGATTTATACAACTTGTCAGCTGTTGTCTTTCATATCTTCTCTATTTGTATGACTTTTACTTGTTTGATCAGAAGCGTACCTTGTCATGAGAGAATTACGTTAATGCCATTTGATTAACATTTTATAATAAATGTTACTCATAATTGTAGCAGTGGCACAAATTTAAATTGTCTTCCAGGATAGAAGGGAAAATTAAGACAAAGAAAAAAAATAATGGTTCCTGAGGGTAGAAACCCAATCACCAAGCTCCCTTCCTGATGCAGTTACATTTAATTTATTCTCTCTTTTAAAGCATCGTGTTTGATAATTTTCAGTAAATTTGACTTTTCATGAAAAGATAATCAATATAAGTAATCATTTAAGGATGAAGGTGACTAAGTTGTGATCAACACCAGTACTTGATATACTCATAAAACATGAGTTAGCAGTGCTTAAACTTTAGAAAATAAAATGTTAGTACACATAAACAGCCTGTCTCTCAGCATGGAAAAATTCTAATCTATAATTTACCTGTGTGCTAAGAATAAATGTATTACTGAAAGTTTATGGAGATTTTTTTTCCAGAAATAGATTTAATTTATAGAATCATTCCCCATTTTCCATCTATGCTCTCTATACTACCACCTAGTGGAATATATGGAAGTTTGTCAATTAAAATTGGGGTAAGGAAATGAATAAGATGAAATTTATCTCAGAAAAAAAATTTCCACGAAGGTGAGTTATTGTTACTTTTTTTAGTATGATGTGGTTTGCAAAAAACACATGAGTTTAGAGTGAAAAAAGTCCAGACATTCTTGCAATAGCTAATAAAATTCTTATCAGATTTTCCATAAATAAGCTGTTTTATTCAGAAACTTAGGAGCTAGATAAATTACTGAGACTGTGCGTCATATTTCTAAATACTGTTGAGAAGCTTCTTTTGATTCCTCAACATTAGGGTCCATAAAAATTTTTTTAAGCTTTAAATCTCCTCTGATAGGGAGGGATCATTGTACTTACTTAACTGATATTTTTATTAAAACTGGGAAAGAAGGCACGTGTGGATATTCTGAGGTTTTCTCTCCCAGACAATGAACCCCAAAGAGGTAAATGAAGCTTTAAGTCTCTCACTCTTTTACTGGTGGGGTAGCCCTGTTCAGCTGCTATTAAGAACAAACACACATATGCCAAAAACCAAAACGTGTTGCTTGCTGACTAATTTCTTTAACTTGGTTACCTGTCATCCGGTGTCTGTCTGCTCTGTGGCCACCCAGGCTCAGTCTTCATATTCACATGGAATGCGAGTGGAATCACCTTCCCTGTCAGAACTGAATCTCTTCTCGTTCTTTCCATGACAGATTCCTCCTCCATCCAGTTATTCTAGACTCTAGTGAAGACTGGATACAAACATTTTATATCCCAAGACTCTCAGTGTAGTAGTCCTGACTTGTTTTCTTACTTCCTGTGGTCTTGAATGGCACAGGTTGGCCCAGTGACCTTTTTTGTCTTGTATGATATGTAGCCCTCAAAAATTTCAGTCTCTCAGTTTTCTTCCTTAACAACTGACAGTAATTACTTATAACTGCTTTTGTGCTGAAATGGAATTTGTATGATTTTGCAGTGTTGACTAATGAATGTTTGTGGGAAAGGCCTTCTGTCTTTGTCATGCATGAGACAAGTTCCTGAATCCTTCATCCTTTGCCTTTTGAGGAGATGTTTATCTTGTTTGGTGTCTTTGCCTCTAGTGAAGCTACACTTGCTATCTGGTACCTGTCACAGTGAGATCTGGTAATGGCACACTCCCCTACCCACACCACCTGCTGGAGGCCCTGCCATGTCCTAAACTAAGCATTCAGTAGTCTGAAAACAGAAGGGGAAGTTACAGAAGCAAATATTATGTTTCACCCCCAAAGACTAAAATCATGTCGGAGTTCTTCCATTTTTCAATTTCCAACCAATGCAACATGGAAAGGTGTTATATACCTAGTTGTTAAAAATATACTTCTCTAAAAACCCTACTAACAACAACAACAACAAAATTGAGACATTTGCTTTTCCTCTAAAATCAAAACAACTCAGAAAGCAAAGCAAAATGAAACTTAAATACTCCATTTTTGGTGTTTTCTTCTTAAAAGACTTCTTAAAAGGCTTTATGTGACTCAATGTTAGAAGTGACAGCCTCTGTCCTTAGGTAGCCCTTTTCGGAGACAGTTATAGATCTATTCTAGATATTAAGACTGGCATCTACATGTTAAACTAAGAGTTGTGTGTACTTTTACTTTATTGCAGCCTTCTCTTGGAGTCAAGAAGCCTACCAAAGCCCTGATCTTTGTAATCCTGAGCCCGGTGGGACCTTATTTTTCAAGAGGAAACTTTAATCCAGTGTCCCTGTGGGCCAATCCAAAATTTGTAAGGGCCTGGAAAGGTGGGACTGGAGACTGCAAGATGGGAGGGTAAGTCAGTCTGCATTTCTGTCTAAAGGAAAGAGTTCCTCACGACCATTTTGGTGACACTTCACTTCAATACAAGTACATGTGTTAATATTCCCATTGTAATGCTCATTTTCGTTTTGTGTTTAGCTTTCTGTGTTTTAAAAGTGCTGTTGTTTAAAGGATAACCTGCAACCCTTTAAGGGAGAAACATTGAATGTTATGCATAGGCATGAATTAAAATACATAACTAAAACAGGAATTGGATCAGTGCTTTGAATGAACTGCCCTGGATGCTGGTCCTTTGGCTGCAGGCTAATGTCTGGCATTAAAGAGCTTTTGGTGCTGGGAGGGAGCAAGGCCCTCATTTGGCTCCAAGGAGCCCTCTCTGGGGAAGGTGCCTGCTTCACTGAAGTGCTGTCTTCATTGCCACAGATTGTAGCCATACCTGCTGCCAACTGGCTGAGGGACAGCCCTGCTTTGGCTCTGTCAGGCCAGTCTCATAGGCCATATGTAGCTGGCTGGAAATAAAAGAACATTTGAAAAGTGTTAGACAATTTCAGGGGTGGACTTGGCCGTGAATGGGGAATACTCCTGTGGCTGAACAAGAATAGCTGAATTAACCAGTTTGGGTTTCTCCTTGTTGGGACCAAATGCTGATGTGTATCACATACCTGGGGCAGCAGCAGTCCTGGAAGGTGACTCAGTGGCCGTCTTCTGGGCCTGGGTACAAATGTAGATTCAGGAAGTCCTGGGAGTCAAATGACGTGCTTCTGGGATGTGAGAGAGACAGTGACAGCTGGCTCTGACCCCTCTGTAGGCTTTGTCTATTTTCTCACTGCCGCCCCTGCCCCCCGCCCCCCCGCCAACCTCTTCCCGAAAAACGTATATAAAATTCTACGTCCCATCATCCCTGTTCCCAGTTTCAACAACTGCATTCTCTCAATGGATAGAGAAATTCTAATGGAGTTAATTAAACTGAGAAGTCACTTTTCCTTCTTATTTAGAGCACTCTTT